GGAGTCAGATTTTGTTTGTGGTGAAAGAAGTGGTTCGTACGGACGCCGCAATACTCGGTATGAGACAAGCAGGGATTATCAGAGCCAGCTGATGTTGATGAGAAGCGCGAGAGCACAGCTCTGGAAAAGTCTCCGAGGATTACAACTAAAAGGAGGTTTGGCGATATATTTTAACATTCAACTTAAAACGTTGCCGCGGTCTGGCATTCCTTTAACACACTTTCTAGTCAGAGACGTTGAGGCCTTAGGGTTGGCGCGATTTAATAAGGAGTTTTAGATCCGCGTTTGGATTGTTCACCGCAAACATCAAACCGCGGTCAGCACTTTTTGGTTAGAAGCTAGAAGTTTCAAGGCTTTTAGTCCTTTAGATCGAAGTCGGATATCACCTGAAAAAATTGACATGTGCGCCGCCATCTTGAACTACACAAAGGGTGGAGGTCTTTTACTTCAAGCACAAAATGTGGCTGAAAGAATGGTTTTCTAGCGTCCCAAACGGAATGGTTACAAAGAAAAGACCTCACTTCACTTACAATTATAGGAAATACGTGATAACTTTCAAACAGGAAGACAAAAAGCGTCAAGGAAGTTTAACTACCTGAAACTGCCATGCCCGAAGTTCAAACGTGGACGGCAAACGTGACCACTGGAGTCTGGTCACGTGACTCCTAGACGTTTGCGGTCACACGTATTCAGAAACAAACGTAGATCTTAAAATCCCTAATATACTGGAAATAGCCTGTGTACAAATTACTGAGAAGAATTTTGTTCCGAACAGTTCTCATTGAAAACGGAACCCTTGATTACATGAAGGCCTCTGGGGAATGTTACAGGAGACAAATGCTTAGCAGCACTAACCTGCTTAACTTCAGTGGAAAGTCATTTGACTGCAATAGACTCACGCATGTAACCCCATGTATGGTAAGTGTGAAATATCTCCTTATTGAATCAACGAAGTTTGAAATGAAAATAATTTCAGAATGGTGTCACACAGCCACAACCAAGTTCCCTTCCAGAGATATTTATGTCAGATTATTCAAACACAAAGAGAAAAGACATCAGTACTCACTGCTCCTTTTTACCTCATGGCATGACGTGAGTCATATTATGTGGTTAAGCTATTCACTCATTTACTCAGTAACACACTCTCTCCATTCTGATCCGTTAAGAAATTCAATAACTTGCACGTGGATTAGAAATGGTAATAGGATTGAATGGAGTTCAATTCGGTCTGTAATCATGCTAGTGTTAACAAATCGGACGACCGCGCAGAGTGGAGTCTTATTTATTAATTATTTTCTATGATTATACATGTTATCCCCTGCCTCCCATACGACGTCTGTTTCTGTTCTTAAAGCCATTCTGTTGTCCTCTATGTGTACAGAGTGACAGTTCTAGTGACTACGGTTCTTCTGTTGTAATCAATTCCATCATTGACGATAGCATCATAATAGGAAAGGATTCAGTTGTGTCGCACTGTCACTTGAAGGTCAGTTGGTAAATACTCAAATCCCGGAAAAGATCGACATTTAACTTCCCTTTTCGATGCCTCTTCAAGTAAATTAGTATTTATAATAGAAGAACCCCGCTGAAGAGAGTGTTAATTTAACACTAAATTCTCATTACCAAATTGCAAAGGATTGCTTAGCATGTGGAGGGCAGAATTAGGAATTGAGACCTCAAGATGGAAGCTACTCCATCAAGCTTCTAAGGAATTTTGAAAGCAGCCAAGACTCGACAGTTAATAATTAATAATAATAATAATTAATAATAATAATAATTAATAATAATAACTTATAGTTAGTTCAACAGAAGTTGATTGCACAGGCGTGACCCTATAATTAATTTGATACGGCTTTTAATTACGGTCGAGCTCTGGGTGATGATTTGGGAGGAAATGTATGGTCTGTGAAAAGACTGATTTGACTGAAATAGTCAACACGATGAATAGGAGTCTAAATGGGCTCATCCTTGTTAGAGGCTAATTCTATCAGGTTTTATTATTTTAATTTTTTCCTTCTATACTTTTATCTAAGTGGAGATGTTTTTTTATTTCAGGGTGGTATGCAGTTTGGATGTGGGTCTATCTTGATTGGTCTTACCTCGAAAGACCTCGAGGTATGTCTGTGGTCATGCTTCCTTACAATCGAAGTACGATGGAATTTACAAACACGTACTCGAGAAACCAACTTGGAGATCGCCACTGCTTCACGAGAGAATCGAAATTGGAAAGGGGCCTTAAGCTCACGGTCGTACACAGTTAGAAGCCAGCAAATACTAATGTCTTAGAGTAATTTGCATCTTCATTTTCCTCACAATTTCAACTCATTATCCAGAAAGGCGATGAGAACAGGTGAATTTACCTTCAATAGGATGGTAACACCGTTGCAAATTCCCTTTACAAATTTACAAGGAATAATTATATTGCAGCAAAAGGGAGAAGAGAGTAGAAGGGAAAACTGCAAATCAAATGTCAAACCTGGGGACTTAAAGGGTTTAATAATTTTCTTATCTTCATAGGACTTTTCTTTATTTGGACTCAGTTTTCCAAGCGATATGTGTATCATACGCTGTCACATATCTCTCCCTGGTCTTGATGTAAAGCAACAGACGGTTTTGGTTGCATTTGGAGTTCATGATGATTTACAGGTTAGATTTCTGCGATGCCCAGTTGCTTAAGAGCTTTTAACGCTATACAGCAATAAATCACTGTCCAGCGAATAAGGACTGACAAAATGCTATCGGATGGAAAAATACCCAGCGAGTAGCGTTATCCACCCTTCGAGGATCTTGGACCTGTACTTGTGTTTCTGAATGCGGAGATGTTCAATGAACTTTGCAAAGAATTGGATAGAGATGGCGATTTTCTCTTCTTGTGACTAATGCCATTTTGACAAAGTTTGCATTGATAACTAAGAAAACAATTGCAGCAACAATAACAAATTTCAGAGAACAAACTCTCGGTCCATTCTTCAATATCAGTTTTTATACAAGTTAAAGAATCGCATGAGTAATAGCAATAACGATTGACAACAGAGCATAGATATAACTTACACTCGGCTTAAACTGATCTCCGTAGGTGCCATATATGTCCCCTAACAGTACTTTCTGTAACACGCCTTGGAAGAACTTTTTTGACAGAGCCGGAATAAGTTCTGAGGAAGTTTGGCTCGGAGTGGTAAGTCAGCATACGCACAGTTGGAACATGCTATGCTATGTAAGCCTCGTACTGTTCCATGCAGTAACAATCAGTGACGTGTTTCAGTCCCGCAGGGTCTTGGCACTAGAGTAGTTGATTGATTATCCACCAATGTTTCCTTTTTGTATTGTCTTGTTCAATCTTTTATTTTGTCTTTTGAGAATAGCAACGTAACTAAAAATAAATAAATAAGAATTAAGTTGTAATCAGCATATGATGCAAGACCGGCTTTTGTGATGCGAATATGTCCGCTTGTTTGTTTCAGCCAGAACAAGACAGATGTCTTTGGAACGCGAAACTCTTCCCTGTTGTTTATTTCAACCTCCACGACGAGAAAAGAGATGTAGCGCCCACTGTCTTGGAACTTGTTATACAAATTCTGTTTTCCAGCTTTTCAACCGAAAAAAGTAGAACAGATCCAAATCAGAACCAGGTCAAGAGGTCAGATACACATGGTCTTCCATCCGTTCTTGGAGATCGTATTTATGGATTTGAAGAAGTAATTTTGAGGTGCGTTTGAAACGAAGATAACAGGGGGGGAAGGGTGAGTCCCATGCGGTCAAAGCTATCAAAGGTCTCCAGCTGTATGACTTGGGAGTAGGTTCTCTTGGCTCAACGGTACGAGTTGCAGTTATCGGGTTATTTCAAAGAAGTCGGAGGACAAACCCTGGCCTTAGGCTCTGACCCTATACCGAGGCCTTCAAAAATTGCTCTCTCTTCGTAATTATTTAAGACCTTTGCTGTGTAACACTTCTCATTCTCAGGCTTATCACATCTACACGGAAGGCGGATCGAGTAAGCCTCTTCCCTCCCCCTCCCTTAAAAATAATTGGATTCAAAGATTGGAAATAAGATTCTTGGTAAAACTTTTCCATGAACCCCTTGGTAAAAGCGATACCCGTCTCGCAAAATTTTCGGTTCCTCGTAATTAGGCCTCTACCGAGTCTTTCATTTACAATCCCATGATGCTTTTGGCTAAAGTAGCTTATGATGTTTTTTTTTCTAGGTGGCGCTCCTCAGTTCGGTTATCACTGAAGGAAATCATGTCCTTGATTGATTCGTCATCAGAGTTTGCATGGAGAAAAAAACTATGGTTTGAAATTGGAAAAGCGCAAGTGAATAACACATTAAAAAACTGCACGAATGATTGCCTGCTGCCTTTTTTGAAGGGCTGTGTAAAAGAAGGTTTCGCGAAAGATACTTTGGACATTTTAGATCAAGGTAATCACGTGCTTAAAAGAACCAAGCTTAACTAAAATTATTTGATGTAAAGGGAATCATAGAGAACGCTGTTTGGTTGAGCGTCTGAAAACAAATTAGTGCGGAGTCAAAACAAATAACCTTTTCATTATTTTTTTTCCATCCCCCAGTTGCATCCAGCGCCACCTCCCCAGGCGTGGTTGCACGGACCCTGGCCTGTATTGCTGACGTGTTGGGAGTGATGGCAGGAGAGAGGGCTGGACTAAGAAGTGGACCAGCCCGCAATGAATCCTGGGTGAATGCGTTTGATCTGCTCGATGTAAGTGTAAAACTGGTAGCTATCATCAACAAAGCAAGGGACTCTGGATAAAGCCTTTTTATATGTGTGAATCCTTTTGATTACTGATTTTTTATATCTATTTAAAAAAATTTTCTCCCCAATTGTATGCATTTGAAAGCATCTCGTGAAATAAGCTTTCTTAGGCAATAGTATAGAATGAGTATAATTACACGTATTTCTATCTCTTCTTTTTTCATTCATAGAAAGGTGATATACCTGCGGGTGTGAAAGCTCTCGCAGAGGAGCGCTCGCGTTGGCTTGACAGGCGAGTATAAAAATCATGTCAATTGCAGGAGAAAATAAACACTTACATGCTTGTTGGTTATTCAGCAGACCTGATTTACTGATCCGAGCGGCTCGACATTATGAAGGAGCGGAACAGATTCTGAGGAGAAGGGCCGTATTCACAGCTAAACAGGTGCGCTTATTCCCTGTTATTCCCTGTTAGTGCCTGTCATTTACTTTCAACATTGAAATTATGGACCTTCCTCATTATGAATCACTTAAAAACGAAACTAACTAAACCTATGTCGCTAATCATAAAATACATTTTAATATGAAGTCATTTCTGGTACTTACTGATATTCTGATCTTTTGCAGTTTTTTGTCACTGAGAAGTGCAAATCCCTTCCCATTGGTCGTTGGGTGATAGCTGAGGCACCTGGTAAATAATTTTTTTTAATGAACACATTGGCCTACGAACAGGCCCTCTACCTGCATCTCCACGGGAAGATTATTGGAGACCAGTCGGGAAGAGGTTTATTGGAAGTATGGCACTGATGTTACCTCATTATCAGTGTTAGACAAGGCACTAATGAAGGCCTGTTCGCAAGCTGTGAACGCATTGATCATTGATAATGTGGTACAATTCATTGAAATACTTCAGATCTTCCACGGACAAGCGTTTGCAAGTTCCTTCATTTCAGTAACAGTTACCCGGTAGGATCTGGGTACGAGATGAGTTGTCACATTAATATTACTTACCGGTAGTTGCCCTTATGTTATGTTATGTTCTTTTACGTGACGTCATATCCATGGTACAAATTAAACGTCTACATTACTTGCCATTTATATCAAATTTAGCCCGGGCTGATTTATCTGGCTGTTGGACTGACACTCCACCCATAACGTATGAACATGGAGGAGCTGTACTAACTGTCGCCATTAACCTAAACGGAAAGGTAAGATTTGACACTCTCAAGAAATAACTCATCAGCAAAGCGCTTAGAAAAATTCCCCTAGCAATAGAAGACTAGTTGAAACTGTCACGTCAATGTGGCATCCATCGTGACCAAGTCAAATTGGATTTTACAAATATCAATCAGTCAACAGCAAATTTGAGAGAAAGTTTTCATGTCTTCTGTAGTTCTAAAAATAATTGTACATGAATAACGTGATCACTTTTGTACTTAAAAAGCTGTTCGTTATGATCTCTGTTGTAGAAAGTAACTGGAGCCAGAGTTAGGAAAATTCAGGAGTGAGTAAGCTTTGATTTTGTAGTAAGCCTATATATTCGTGAAACTCCTATATTAGCGTATAAGTCTCAGACGAATCATTCCACGACAAATCTTGTTTTATAGAGCATATTCGTTTTACGTTCAAAGTGATACAAAAGTACAAATACAGTCTAATATCTGGTCTGCCTTACGAAAGCAAAAAAAAGCTGCCTCTTATTTGTTCTTATTTGTTATCCATTATGGTGACTTTATTGATATGTGTAAATCTTCACTCCACAGGTGTGAAGTAGTTCTTGTGATTCACTCAGGAGAGCATAGCGTCAAAGTTGTCTGCAGGGAATTATCAGACTTAGCAAATTTCACCCAACCACATGCACCAGGTCAATATCGTAAAATAATCAATCTAAATTGAAATAAACTGGTACACGCACCATGTGCTTGATAGATTTGCTATGAATGGCATGCTGCTATTAGGCGCTGCTCTTTTGAAAGCCTGCAAGTAACTGGTTTATTATTTGCTCTGTGATTCAGTTACTGCATAATTTCGCGCATAAATATTGGTTGGTGTATTTTTTCGTTGAGCTATTAGTACTTCCTAAAATTGACGCATACTGATTTTAGCGCATTCTTTGTGCACTGTACCACCACATACTCCTTCCGTTTTTATTTTCAAAAAAACTTTTATTTGCAATGGGAAAAATCAAACGCAAGAGAAAAAGATAGTCTAAACCTAACTGCAGGTTGTATTTCAAAGGAATAAATATAAAAAGACCTCCCAAACTTTTACGTTTTCTTTAGTTAAAATGGGCAATTTCTCTTTCAGGTGCCCTTCTAAAGGCATGCATTTGCTTTCTGGACATTGTGACTCTTCCTTCAAGCGAAAAATTATCCGAACAGTTATTCAGAAAATACCAAGCTGGCTTTGAGCTCCACACCTGGTCAACCGCTCCTCAAGGGAGTGGGCTGGGCACAAGTAGCATTTTGGCGGGAGTTATCCTGGCGGCGCTTTTACGCTCGACTGGCTGCACAGCCAGCATAGACTCACTGATTCACGCCGTGATGATCGTAGAACAGATGCTAACTACCGGCGGTGGCTGGCAAGATAACGTTGGAGGACTGATGCCTGGTTTTAACATCGCTCGGTCCCAGGCCACCTTGCCTTTGAAAGTAGAAGTAGAGAAATTAAATCTTCCGCAAGCCACCATCGATGCCTTAGCAAAACGTTTGCTTTGTATCTATTCAGGAAAGCCTCGTCTTGCTAAGAATTTATTACAGGTACATCGGTAGGAACGAGGTTATTTTCTGATTAAGAGTCGATGTTAATCTTGGATGGAATTGATTTTGTTTCAATTCTAGCCTTCAATAGCTGACAGTTTTATTCACATGCCTCAAAACGATGAGCGTCGGAGCCGCAAAATTTAGCGACGAAGCTGTGAAAGGTCTGTGACGAAAGAGCTCCGCTGTTCCCTTCATTTTCATGGAGGGTGCTTAAAACTGCTAGCTACGCAAACTAATTTATTTCTCTTCGTGATTGGTCTTAACAGAAACGCCACCCTTTTAACCAGATCCAAAAATCAAATCAATAACTACCTCATTGCTCGTCTTTCCCTACGAGACAAACAGTAAGCACACTTGGATTTTGTCTTTCAGGATGTTGTCAGGAATTGGTACGCAAGATTTCCAAAGATTACTGTAAACGCAGATGATTTGGTAAAAAATGCAGAAGAGGCTGCTAAAGCTTTGAGGGGAGGTAGGATAAGGCGTTTAACGTGTCTCTGATTCCTCACCGTAAAACCCTTTTGACGTACCTAGTAAAGCCTGTAAATTTGATAAGTTAGCAGATTAACCCTTATTCCAAAATGAAACAGAGTGAATTAGACCGGTTTGACTAATCAGTTTGGTAGAAAATACGTGGTGCTTTTCAAGGATTAGTGGCTTATCTGTTCATAAGCTGCGGCAAAGTATCTTCGAAATCCTTTGTGCAAATAAATGTCTGTTTTTGCCCCGGTTTTTCGTCTGATTCTTATTTTCCTTTTTTTTTTTTGCTGTTGCTATTTTTGATTTGATAAATTTTCAGTCGAAAAAAAAATCCTTGTGATGCGATGTTTTATCACGAGACATTTTTCCCCAGGAAATATTGAAAAGCTTGGCGAGTGTATGAACTGCTATAGGAAACAGA